CCGACGAGTCGTTGGTGTCGGCGTCGCACTCGTCCGATGACGTGGTGTTGTCTTTGACGACAATCACGCCATTGGGTTGTTTGAGCGCAGACTTGCATCGGACCAGAAAGCGGACGAAGTCCTCGTCGGTCAGGTGTCCGACAACCCATTGGCACCAAATGCAGTCGTAGAGCACATCCGGTTCGGGCGCGAAGTCCTGCAAACCCACGTTGTATTGGTTACCCACTCGGGCGTACTCTTCGGCCGACATATAAGTCTTGGTTTGGGCCAAAAACTTGTCGCTTTGTTCCAACAGATCCACGGTATCGAAGAACTTCAGCAACAGGTGTTTACTCACTCGACCGATACCTTCAACACAAGTGTAAGTCATTAATAGTAAGTACTTAATAATCACCAAAACATGTGATCTCAAGAGCTGGTCCCACATACCGGCGCCGCAGTCGAGTGCGCGCGTTGTCTGTGCCGGCGATGGCGTCGACTCCGTGTCCTCAGCGGTCGACTCTTTGACGGCCGACTTCTTGGCGTCCAATTGCGGAAACCATTTGGTGAGGAAACGGGTGGAGGCGTTGATATCGGGCGAAGTGACCATGGTGAAGCCACCCAACATGCCATCCAGAGTGGGCTCAATGCCATCCCAATACACTTTTCCCGCGGAGTAGAAGTTGTCCTCCAGTTTCGTCCCATTGATGGACATTTCGGCCAACAGATGGTATCCGAAGATCGGTTGCTATTATCACTGCAATTGGTCTCAAGAAGTCAAACGTCTATTCAATACATTGTTTGGTAAACATTGCGCTGAAAAACACGTGAAACCGATGTTTGGGTGAAAGCTATGAATGTCTTATTGGCCGACAATTTGTCACTTTTTGACGCTATTATTGTTGTATTGATTATACGCTATAACGCTGTATATGAAAAGGTATCGATCGAGTCATGCATTTTATTAATTAGTTTTATTTTCTATAGTTTTGTATTTAAAATATTTATTAATTATTCAATCTCTAGATCTTTATATTTAAAACTTAGTTATAATTTAATTAATTTTATAATAAAATTAATTATTACGACATTTTAATTAATATTTTCAACATTAAGACAACTAATGTTCACAAATAATGCACACAATATGTGAAACACAAAGCATTCCCTTATTTATGGGTTCATAGCCTTTGAATTGGACTAAAAATTCATTATAAAACTTACATAAAGTGGACGTAATTTAGTGAACACTTTGTAAACCATATGTTATTACAAATTCTGTGGATCTGAAGGTATTTAAAGAATCGATAGGAATATTGAGACATTCCGAGTGGCGGAACCCATACAACGATTTCTAGTAAATTATTCATTTATTTAAGTATTAATTTGTAATTATTAAACATGTTATAAAGCAATTAATTAATTACATGTTAAGTGATTGAAAATAATTAGTTTTGCTAATTATAGATACAGTGAATGAATGGTTCCGTCACTGGTATACAGGCTTTTGATTAAAAAGGAGATTGAAGTGAAGATTGTATTAAAGAATATTCTGTATTATATATAACACACACTATATGTGAGACTCAAAGACACAAAGCATTGC